AGGGAAAGACTGCTCAGTGACAATCTGGTGGACACCTCACAGCTCTTTATCACATCTCACTTCTCACACTTTCACCCTAATTTGAAACCTAGCCAGACCTCTAAATAGACACAGCCATATCTAACAGCCAGATCAAGGGGCTGGAATTTTATTTGATCTATGAGAAAAAACCATTCAAGCAAGAATATAGACAGACAAACAAAACATATCTGCTTATATACCCTCCGTAAATAATGTTCTAGGACATTGTGCTAGATAATCGTGCTATAATCCTGCACCTTGGTAAGCCAGACCTTCCCCTTCAGCAGAATGCCAAGGCACCATATTTATTCTTAACAGTGCTTCATACACTCAGCACTTTGGTGAATGGAGCCTTTCCCATCCATTCCTTAACAAGTGCTGGTTAGCCAACATGGCATCTCTCCACACAAAACTACTATCACGAGGTTATTATCAACTCTTTCATTCACAATAATCTGTCCCCTTCCTTTTTTCAGCTATGCCAGATGTTTGTACAAGCTGATCATCTAGTCTATTTTAACTTCAACAAGCAAAGAAAAAGTCTTTACTCCCACTGTCCTTTTACATTATTTTTCCAGTGATGAGGCAGAACTTTCTAACGGGCATACGATCTGCCCCTTGTGTTCTGTGAGGGTATTTATCCAATGTGCCACTTGACTCAGCAGTTTAAAAAGTACTCCCAAATGCTGCCAAGGAAGGCCAGATGCAGCATTTGTGTGACACATACTTGGCAAGTCAGAAATATATACATGCAGATATCGCATCAGGACAATTTACATCTCTCAGCCAGAGAGGCCTGAATTAACCCAAATTAACATCCAGGCTCCAAGGAGTTTAAGAGGCTGCACAGAGGTACCAGAACACATTTTGGTGCTGTGCTCTGCTGCCTGTGCATTTCATTACATGTTTAATACCCAGCTTCCTCCATGGCAATCTGAACTGTTTTGCATCCCAGCACTGAATGAACATGGTCTTCAGGCTGGATGTGTACCAAGATCGAGGTTAGGGATATCCACAAGTAACCATTTAATGCTTATGCTGATCGTTTAAGTACTGACAACAACATTTTTATTACAGGATTCATTTACTTGTGGTCATAATTTGGGGTTGGAAATTCTAGCAAACTGACAGTTCTGATCTGGTCACACAAGTTTACTTGGGTCATTGACTGCTCTGTCACCTACCAGGGTCCAGGTTGAACTACCAGCTATAAGGCTGCCTGAACTTCCTGTTGCTTTCCAGTTACTGCTTCATAATTATAACATACAAATTCCTGAGGCACTGATCTGGTAGGAGTGGTCTTTATCAATGAGTTTTGAACAGTGACTAAAAATGCCTTCTCACAGCCCTTTTTTTGACAGCTAATATGGTAATGGCTATGGTAAAGAACGGACTAAAGCCATTGACACAGCTTCAACTTCTACACTCCAGCTTGTGCATTTCACACTCCTCAAGAAATTTAGCATCCAAGATCAAGAATAAAAACTGGTTATATTTTCCTCTCTTCTGGAACATCAACCAGCATGCCTCAGAGATCACCTACCAAATAATCTAACTTCTGCACAAAGGATTATGATTTTTACTAGTCACGTGATTAAGCAACTGCTTTAAGACTGCTCAGCATGTCCTGCAAAAATTGGCATCCCACATTTCTCAAACTTCCTCCCTTTAAAATAAACAAGAACAGATTTTTCAGTGTCTCCCATTTTGTCAAAAATATAATTTGCCTTTTTTTTAAACTGAAATGTAATTTTAAACAATTTCTAGTTTAAAATCATCATAGATTTTTAAATTAGTATATTAAATGGGCGAAGAGAAATAAGAACTAAAAAAAATATTTTCTCCTTTTTAGCAAATAGATTATATTTAGAGGGGATGAAACTAAGTTCTGAAGGGCTTCTAGTATGCAGAATTTCTGCTGGAATAGCAAATTTAATCAAGTAGGAAAATTTAAACAGTGATATTTTTCCACAAAGAGGAAATCAAATGCTTGCAGGGCAGTATCCAAACAGCCAGCACATGCCATACCCAGATTTATTGGTGACTTGCTTATTGAACTTTACAGTTGTTTTTTCCAGGGCTGAAGGATTTAATACTGTTAATCTGTATGTTTTTTTTCACATCCTATTTATCAAGCGGCTAATACAACAAAGTAAATTTTAAAGTTCAATAGATTGTCAGAAGTACTTGCATTAGAAATACTAAAAAGCAAACAGCTAAGGCCACCCATGGATGCTGCACTCACACAAGTCTCCACAGAACACAGTACAGATCTCCAGGAAGAGATCAGCAGGA